CTGTTAGAGTTAGGTGTCCCTTGAAATCTTGTTTGTCTATTTTTCAGGTAAAGAATGATTTTATGTTGGTAAAATTTCGATGTTAATTTTGATTATAAGAAGAAAAAATTAGAAAAAAATATGTTTGTGTTAAATTAAATTAGTATTGGGTGGGGATAATTCGTTTTGTGTTACTCTATGTCAAGAAGATGTTTCTGACACACACACACACACACACACACACACATTGAATTCATCGAAGGAAAATCGGAAGCTAAACCACAGATCAAAACCATAAACTTAAACCGTCGAAAATCTTGACTAAAATCTTAAAAAAAATAAATAACTTGTCCTGGGCAGCAGCCAAAGCACCTCACAACTCTTGGTAACATTAGCCAGTATAAGTTTGTGATATTTTCTTCAGAAACGACCTGATGCTGGGGAGGAAATTTTACCTTTAGCTTAAAGTAAAATACACAGCATGACCATCGCCGCCGGAGCCTTTTATCTAATGTGTAGTTGTGGCTTGTAAAGATATACTCGTGTCACGGGTGTCAGGAGAAGTTTACAAGTCGCCTGAAGGGAAGAGAGGTGTTCAGTGACGCTCCTGAGAAATAAAAGATGAGAGAGAGAAGATAATATTCGTACGTGTGGCTCTGTCCTTCCTCTAAGTGTGTGGCAAGACAGAGCCCCCATAAGGTTGACAAATAACGTGTCAGGCAGAGTGCATGTGTGAGTAGCGAACCGCGGCGGCCCCCGGACAAGATGGATGGGTGCCAGTGAGGGAACTTGATTACCTGCCTACCACACGCTGCTACCGTCACCAGGACCACAATACCTGTTTCTCAATAAGGGGGGTAAGGGGGTATGACTAGTCAAATGGGTTTTCACTCCCAACAGGTTCCACTTCTATTGGAATCGAATTCTTATGGGAGACGATTACTAAGGGTTAGGTTAGGTTAGGTTAGGTTTGGTTAGGTTAGGTTAGGTCTTGCTTGGGGCCTATTAAGACTTGGGTGTTGTTTGACTAACTACCATCACAAAATCTGCAGAAATATGAAGGAGAAAATATTCCACTCAGATCATTATTTGTCACATTTAGTTCCTTATTAACTATGATAATTAACCTCGACTTTAAACCTCCATTATTTCCCGTAAACTTTAACTATTCCAGATAACACAACTCCACCACGACTCTACAACCACGAGTATAGAAAGCAGTAAAGAAAGTTAAAAATGACCCAAATCCTTCCTTCCTTGACATCAATATCTTTACATAACACTATACATAACATACCTTTATTCTTTGTACCGCGAGTGTCGTTATTCCACCATGAGACTATAACGAACTGTACGGAGGAAGACGACTACACGACACGTAGCCAACCACCCATCTATCCATAATGTCCTTAATGTAACACGTGTACTTTAGGATAAACAAAAGAGGGTCACATGGGGGTGATTCCCACTGAGGTATTGTTGAACGAGAGACACCTAGCTAGCTGCCGCACTTCCATCACCGGACCTATAACAATACAGTGCATTATTCACGACGCCAGCCAGCTACCGCGCTCCCTCTCCCCCCCCGACCACCTTACTTGTGTTACCTGCTGGGTGTGGGTGTCTGGGTACTCTGTGGGAAGGGCAGTCAGCTCCCCCAGGTTTGTGTCTGTGTTGTGTTAAAGGCAGGAGAGGAACTAATCCAATAATTCAAGCCAGTTTAATCTTATAGACTATAATCCACCATAAGTTAGTGGAGTCTAATCGAGCCTAACTTAACCTGCGATACTCTAACCTAACCTACCCTAATCTAACACCTGCCATTAGTAACCAGATCACCGTACAAAGTTCCCGACTCTACACCTGCCTTACCAAACAGGGAGGTACCACCACCTGGGAAGATATTGGAAGCATAATGTGTTGTCTAATGGTAGACCCTGCTGCCATATGGCATCACGAAAATTGTGACCAAATCCCAGGTTGCTGATCTGTTTTTCTGCCTCATTTACACACAATTGCAGGGTCTCAATTGTTTCTCTTATTATTGACAATACAACATACATATATTATTTCTCACTCTTGATTTCTTTTTTCTTTTTTGTATTTATTTAAGGTTGTTATTATTATTAATTTAATTTTTTGTTATAATTTTTGTCTAGTTTTATTAATTTTTTTCTTCTTCTTCTTCTTCTTCTTCTTATTATTATTATTATATTTTCACCCCCAGGCCCTGATGAGGGCTAGTGAGCTGTGCTTGGGTGGGCTAATCCCCAAAAAAAAAAAAAAATCAGAAGCCACCATTTGTACACCTTTCACGTGAGACGTCATCTAAATGGAAACACCAATGTAATGACGTCACGACTATAAATAAGATGACGTGCCTCTTACGTCACACAGGTAAACATTGAAGTTACGAGTTAATGTAGACTTTCAATGTACTTGTCAAACACTCAGGTATTTAATGGCTCTAAGAGTATTACCTAAACAAACAGAATAAACCTGGAATGATTAGCTATATTCAAGAGGAGTGTGTGTGTGTGTGTGTGTGTGTGTGTGTGTTCAGGATACAACTGATACAAAAATAACATCATTGTTCTTCAGAAAAGATCACAGACTACAACTTTCATTATACTTTACCAAAACTCTTAAAAACTTGTTACCCACGACACAACCCTTGAGAGATATAATTTACTTCCCTGTCCTACATGATACTGGTAACCTATACGTCATTGTAATCATTGTAATTATAGGTTCATCATCATCTCAGTATACCTGGATGTCTTAAGGTTTGTTCATGCTTCGGTTTTTATTTCAACATGTCCGTATCATGTTGACAGCCATAAAATGAACCAATTTACACTGGAACAATATATATAAATCTCTCACTATTCTTGGCATCGAATTTTATATATTTTTACCATCACGTAGGATTGGCCTAGCATCCAATTCAAGGTGGTACCAGAGACCTCACCTTTAATGTACTGTATATCACTTCCTTCACTATACACTAACCATATCTCACTCCAATTGCACTATTTTCCCCATGTACATATACGACTATCACTGCTTTTGGATTGAACCTGTGAAATAGCCAAGGATTTTTTTTTTTAATATCAGATTTCTTTTCACTATGTGTTTCTTATCTTTCTTCCTCTCAACTATATATTCTCCACATTCGCCAAAGGCCATATTCGCCCTCACATGAAATACCGCTCTCTCTCGTATTTGGGGAGAGCATCCAAATTCTCTCGATTCTCCCCGGCAAAACCCATTCTAAAGGCCACACAACCCTACCACTGGCTGGCTGGGTTCTCTCTCACTCAGCTGTCCTCCCCTTCATTCACGATATTCTCTTCCCTTATTTTACCGCCACGGGTGAATAAATATTCCCTTGAAACTGATATCTATTTCAACACCATATTCACGAGAGTTTCTTCGCTTTCTTCCTTGCGTTTGGTGATATAGAAGGTTTACCTGTATACATATTTCCTTCTGGTACTAAACCAAAATGGTCAGGTAAATCAAACTGTCTTTCTTCCGGCCAGGTAAGAGGAGAGTTCTGCCTCAATATAATACGTGTGTATAACTCTTCTGATTCTGTTTTAGTCTTGTATCTGTTACTTCCTTCAGGCATCACACAGGGGTTCCAACACCACCCTAAGTGTCTTGAGCTCCTCGGCCCACACGTGACGTTGTTAATTTTTGCTTCTCCAAGTGCGGAAGTTATCAGAGATCAACATAAGGAGAGTTATCATTCTTTAAATGTCTGAATATAAATACGATAGATTAAATACTGAACAACTATAGTGATTCTTTGGGTGTCCGTCCGCCAACCAATCAACTGCCTTGTTACAAACTGACCCTAGGCCTCAGTTGCAAGTAATAGTAATATTGGCTCTCTCCCCCCCCCACCTCCCTCCCTCATTGTCCATTAGCTACATACGCATTTACTTTACGTTAAAAAATATGTCAGTTTTCTCTGGTGGACGTCAGAGCTGACTAATTGTAACTCGCTTGTGAAAAATACAGCGACGGGAGTAGTTTTTTCTTTCCAAATATCTTCCATTTTTGGGGATATTTTTTTTCTTTCGGTTTTTGACGTCGAGTTCTTATTGCCTGTGATGATATTATGACAGTACTGTACCTGTTGATGCTCGTCTGTTTATTGACAACGATTTTAATTATTGGGAAAAGGTAAATAAATAAGGACACGCACACACAATACACACCTACCCACCACACATAAACACCCCTCCCACGCATCTACCCACACCCCCCCACACACATACACCCACCTACCACTCACTCACACTAAAACATGCACACACACACACACACACCCCACACACACACACCCCACACACACACCTCACACACAAACATACACCCACCTTCCACCCACCCAGCAGTAAGCAGCCTTGTATGTACTGCAGTCAATTACATAAGAATCAGGCAAATGATGTATAAATATTGACATTTTCTCTGAGTTGTGTAAGTCATGGACGAAAGCTTCAAGAATTTAGGGAGTGTATTCATGAGGAGGTGATAAGACACGTACAGTTCTGTTGAGAAGCTCGTGGTACACTGACGGTGAAGGGTGCATAGTCTGTTGTACCCTTCCTGGACGACTGACAGCTTCAATAACTCTACCACATAGTCTACACAATAGTTTCAATATGAGAAGAAGGTTACAGCAGTGATTATTATTTCCAGATAAATCACCAAGTTCAATAATATAAAAAATTAGCCTTACCCATACATAACTACCCACAAATAGTGATACTGAATTTGGCTGTTAATAAACTTGGGTTAGGATTACTCTATCTACCGATGTAAATATTAGTATGAAGTTCCGTGGTCGAGCTTTTCCGAATCTTTACCTAAACTTTGACTATGATGCAGGTCTCTCATTCTCTATCCTTCAGTCATCAATGCTGTTATGGTCCGCTCCTTTGGTGAGACAGTTATAACTTAACTAAGTCGTTAAGGTTACCGCTCTCATCTTATCCACTTCACCACAGTTGTGGGGGACAGGCCAACTTCATGTGCCACACCCCGGATGGAGAGACCATTATCACGGAGAGTGATAATGTGATCTCTGAGCACCAACTTCTCATCTCTCTGATTCATGTTGGCTTGGTGGAGCTTCTGATCACTCTCATCAGCGGCAAATAACAACAACACCCCGGTGTGACACACACACACACATCAATGTATGTAATAAGTCATTTATGTCCATTGTAGATTTTCAGTCTTCGGGCTGCAGAACTTTTTCAATAAACCGTTAATTATTATTATTATTATTATTATTATTATTATTATTATTATTATTATTATTATTATTATATGCTGTATATATAGCTAGAATATTATCCGAAAAGCTTCAAGTAATGAATACATTGAAGACTCTTGATATATGAGCTCTGTTCACCTACTTCTTATGGTGTTCATTCGAAACCAATTTCACTAATGTATTCTGATATTCTAATGGATACTCCTATCACTACAGTTTTCTTCTCTCGTCAGCAATATATTCATATCAATATCTTTCTCATCTCCTTTTGATGAGTATTCGTTAGAATCACACAGCTACGTTGCCAGTTCCACTGTGTGTGTTGGTGGGTGGGTCGACGTAGTGACCTGTCGTCCAGGAAGGGTACAACAGGCTATGCACCCTTCACCGCCAGTGTACCACGAACTTCTGAACAGAACTGTACCAACTGACGCAGTGCTTGGTGGGTGTCGTCGTTCTAGTCTGTTCGTGAAGTGACTGAAAGTCTTTGATCAACTGAGGAAGACAGTTGGGCAAAAAACACCGTCTCTTCCCTCCACGTACTGTAGTCATGTGATGTATTGTGTAGTGTGTGTCATCTTAGGGGAGAGAGTCTACTATTTGTGAACGGGGTCCCTTCTCTGCTGGATAGAATCGTCTAGCGTTATCCAGGTAAAGCATTAAAGGTGGCGTCCCTGTAGTGAAGGGTTTAAGGGTACAAGAGAGAGAATTACAGACATAAGGACCTGACACCAGCTTGTTAACCCTACGGTAGCTAAGATGGTGTAGAAGTTTGGCTATGGTGTCCCCCGCCTCTACCAGGAAGCCGCTGTATAAACTTAGCAGCTGTTAACTGAGGCCAGACAACACGATACAAATTCCAAGAAACGCCCACCACTAACTTGTTTCCTCAACTTCTATTCTCCGGCTGTTACCCAGAGAAGGCCAAGAGGTTAAAGATGTACAAGTGTCGTTCAAGAAGCGTTCACAACTTAAGACAACACCAGGCTGCACGGGAATGTAACCGTTCATTCTTGCCGAGGCTACCGACCCACAGGTTAAGATACCCTAAACAGTATTCGGTTCCCGGTGGTGCTGGCTGGTGCAGATGGGATGAAAACTTGAACACTTTGTCATATGATGGAATTATAAGAGTAACTTCTTCTACACCAATGAGAATTCTGTATTATAATCTTAGTATTTTATAAAAGGAAGTAAAGAGGAGAAGTCGACGAAGGATGGAAGACAAAGGATGACCTACGAGAGACGGTTCATGAACTTTTTACAGGTGTCTTACATTTCCGAAGGTAAATTTACGAAAAGATCCACAGACAATTCAGGTAAGACTTAAACTATCATCTTAGGACCTACACTCTACCTCACAGCTCCTAAGGCTCCTCTCACACCACTGACAGACATAGAATAAACCGATTAAAGTGACCTATTCCGCGCTACACCCCACCATGATTAGAATAGGCTTTATAACTCAACATACGAGTACATACAATGGCGACAGTGACAACGCCCCGACTCACAACTTTCCTCTAGATTGACTTGTGGCCGTTCAAGTTTAATACGTATCTCAGTTGGCTTTCAAAATACACCGAAATTATAGCAAAAACTTCCTTTGATCTTTGTTGATGTTAGAGTTAAGGGACCAATAGATATAAGGGATTGATGTGGTTGTAAGAGTCGAGTTCCTGTTGGTTTCTTTCGGCAGTGGATGATCTAGCAAATGGTAAAACGCCATTGTTGTTTTGTTACAGTGAAACCTCTAAATAACGGACTTCTCTCTTTATATAATCCGTTAGATGGAGATTTCACATATAACGGACCCTCAATAACGGACTTTCCTCTCAATATAGTCCGTTAAATAGAAGTTTCACTATAATATTCTCGTTCCGTGTTGTCAAGTCGTGTTTTCTGATATTCGTGTATAAGTGTATAAAATATTCTCTCTTATACCCGTGTCATGTTAAAGAGGCCAGAGGAACCATTTAGTATGTAGGAGTTTCTTTTTATCAGTTTCACACACACACACACACACACACACACACACACACACACACACACACACACACACACCAAAAACCCAAAAACTTGGATATATTCGATGACGTAGTATATCAGTCGCCCCCCCCAAGACGTATTCTTCTATCATAGTGTTAGATTATTACTGACACATGCAAGAATATTGGGCACTAAATGCGGTGTAGTGCTAAGGGGTGATTTACTAGGGGTTTAATGGATCTTATTAAGGGGTTACATATTAGGGGGTAACAAGCTCTTATTAAGGGTTATATCAAGGGTTTTAAAAGGTCATTTAAGGAGCAATATCAGGGGTTTAAAAAGCTCTTATTGGGGGTATATCAGGGGTTTAAAAAGTCTCAAAAGTCATCTATATGCTATTTCTGAACCTCTGTGTATGTATATGTGTAAAGAAAACATGACTTATTAATGAAATCGACCCCCCCCTTAAAAGGTTCTAACATCCCCATAAACCAAAATAAAAAAGGTTTAAAAAAAAGTGTTAACCCTGAACCCTTGAGCCCTCGTGTTAGTATGACCTTTGACCCCTTGAATAGACGTATAATGCCACCTAATGGACATAGAATGGAGTACAGGGTGACAGTGTTCCCTTTGGTGTCAGGTTGTGTTAGTTTTGGTGTTGGGTCATGTTGAGGGAAGTGATTTTAGCCATCGTCTGTAGTCTGGGAGGTATGTCGTCAATGTTGTGTGGTAATACTCTCCTCATTAAGACGTTGAGGAAGAAAGAAAGAAAAAATCCACTTTCTCATTTCACCTGCTAGTGTCATCCCTCTCTCCTGACCCCACCTCCTAGTGTCATCACTCTCTACTGACCCCACCTACTAGCGTGTTCCCTCTCTGCTGACTCCACTTGCTAGTATTACTCCACTGTACCAACTCCAGCTGCTAGTGTGCTCCTCTCTGCCACCAACTCCTGACCTGGCAGTGCTAGGGTCCCAGAATGCCGCTAAATTCGTAATGCCTCCCTAATGACGTCATTATGTCTTATAACATTACCTGTTTATCTTCTTGAATGTTTATAATGATCATTCATACAACTTCTTTTCAAATTTCTCAGAGAACTAATCAAGTGCATTACCCCCTTCCCCTCTCTCCTCCTCCTCCTCCTCCCCCAAAATGCATGATCTTCCTCTCTTTCCCCCCTCTTCTCCTCTTCATCCCCTCCTCAAAGTGCACGATCCCCTCTTCCCCCCTCCTTTTCCATAGTACATGACTCTCTCCCCTCCCAAAAGTGCATGACCCCTCCCTCTCCTTCCCCCCTTCCCAAAGTGCATGACCCTCCCTCCTCCTCCTTCCCAAAGTGCATGACCCTCCCTCCTCCTCCTCACCCCAAAGTGTACCTAAGGAGAATTTCACTTGTGTTTGTATTACCCTCTTAGTGAAAGTCATTTGGTGAGTGCCTGCCATCCTGTGCTTCCAATTTGCCTGTGGACGCCGGAAGACTCAAAATATTTTTACCTTTTGAGGTTAATCTGTACTTCTTAGGATAGGTTTGGTGATTAAAACAGCCTGACCTGACCTGACCTGAACCTGACATGACCTAACCTGACCTAAGACTCTCCCTTGGTGATGAACTTATGTCAAGAAGTCAGACCCGTGTGTATTAATGTCCAGCAGGGGATATGTGTGTGTGTGTGTGTGTGTCTGAGGCAATGGAGGTCAATAGTAGTTAAACTTCATTCCCTATACTACAATGGCTCCTTCTCCCTCGTTAGACTCAGATATAAACTTGAACTGTGTAGCTCCGTCAAAGTAAATTTAATATAAACATCTATTTTGTATCATTCCCTTGATGGTCCCAGGTGCACACACACACACACACACACACACACACACACACACACACACACACACATACATCTTATTAACATTCTCACTATATACCTTTGGACTATTTTAAGATATACACTGAACAGGATTTAACCAGAGACTCTTCATGTTATTATCAAAGCTGTGTCCTAAACTTCTCGTCAACACTCACTCTGCTGTACCGCTCCTCATCACGAAGACAACAGTGAGGTTTTTGTTGTTGTGTGTGTGTGTGTGTGTGTGTGTGTGTGTGTGTGTGTGATATAATTTTCGGTCTCTTTTAATTTAATCGTACAAAAAAACTCAACCTAGTTTTTATGGAATTAATTGTTTTAGTTAATTTTGATACTTCATTAAAACTCAATTAATAAAAAATGGTTGTAATATTTAGTGTTTTAGTCGATAATATATGTGGTATAGACACATGTAGATATATTAGTGTATTTGTCTGTGATATTGTGTGTTTATGTTTGTTGTTTTATTAATTAATGCAAGTAGATTAGAGGTGGTCATATCACTCTACGTTTTGACTAATTGGTAATTCTCTCTCTCTCTCTCTCTCTCTCTCTCTCTCTCTCTCTCTCTCTCTCTCTCTCTCTCTCTCTCTCTCTCTCTCTCTCTCTCTCTCTCTCGTCCTTTTTGCACTCTTGCTTCGCCTTACCTGTGAGCGACCACCTGTTCAACTCACCTTGGCAGAGTACCTGTCCCTCCCTCTCACATTCCCTCCCCTCCCCTCCCCTCCTCCTCCTCATCTCTCTTCATATTTCAAAATTCCCCCACAATTCCTCCTCCTCCTCGACCCTACTCCTACCTTCTTCCTCTACCCTCCTCCTCTTCCTCTACCCTCCTCCCTCCTCCCTTCCTCTTCCTCCTCCTTCTTCCTCTACCCTCCTCTTCCTCTACCCTCACCTCTTCCTCTACCCTCCGCCTCTTCCTCTACCCTCCTCCTCTTCCCTCTACCCTCCGCCTCTTCCTCTACCTCCCCTCTTCCTCTACCTCACCTCTTCCTCTACCCTCACCTCTTCCTCCCCCCTCACCTCTTCCT